GCGAGGTATCGGTCGTTTTCATCCAATGAGAAATCGCCATCCGTATTATCGGGCTGAAAGTCGTTGCACTCGTCTTGGACATCGTTGTAAGCGTTCGGATCTTCGTTTGAATACTCGTTGCCTCCCTGAGCAGCTTCACGACCTTTCAATTCAGCTAGTAGGTCATCCACCGTAGCTTCAATGAGTGTCACTCTTGGTTTGTTGCGGTTGTCATCGCGGCGACGGTCATCACGCCGGTTGTTGCGGGCGTATCCATCGTCGCGTCGCGTGTCACGATTCTTGGAGTATCGGTACTCACTGTCACGCTTGGCCATTCTCTCCTTGCCCTTGAGAACATCTTCGATGATCTCTTCGAGCTCGTGAATGTCGGCGACTCGAGCGTGGTAGAGACTCTCCGCCAACTTGTCATCGTCGCATGTTGCTAGGAACTGCTGTACATGTTCTTTCGCGTCGCGACCACTCTTCTCAAAGTGTAGACGGGCGGTCCGAGCGTAGCCATTCAGCCTGTTTATGTAGTCGCACAGATGTTCATTACGATCCCGCTTGGCGGAGTAGTAACGCGACAGTGCCGTCTGCGTGAACTGCGAGCAGTAGTAGCGGATGAACGCATCGCTCAGCAGCTTCCACTTGCGCTTCGTCGTCTTCGGAAGTTGACGGAACCAATGAATGGCTCCGTCCCGGAGACTTAGCTCAAATGGAATGCACCATTTATCGGCATCTGTGTGGGTTCCAGTCATTTCATAGACGAACCCACGGAGCCACTGCATACAGTTCTCGCTCTTGTTGCGAGAGCCTGAGAACGGCGTGATGCGATCCAGCGGTCGGTGCGAAGCCATTTCAATCCTCGGTGTTGGGTCCACGTCGTTCAGCGTCGCTAGCTCATTCATCTGACGCATCAACTCGAGTTGAGGATCTTCCTCGTCGAATGTACGCACTAGAATGTCATCGTCACTGGACGAACCATCGCTGTCGACTTGACGACGTCCGGCACCACCTTTGGGAGCTCGCGCACCGCCTCGGCGACCGAACGAACCCTCGTTACTTGCGTAAATACGTTGCATACGGCTTTCCGAACGTGGCGTAACCATGTGCGAGTCTTGAAAGTACGGTGAAGCTTCGGTAGTGCCAAAGGCACCACGCTCAGCTCCACGCTTGGTCGGAGGAGTACGAACGAGTCGTTGGGGCGTCGGCGGCAGTGGAATCTTGGACGGATCTTCATCTTGAATCATCGGTCGACTCACAGGCTGCTTTCCGGCATTGATGCCAACAGCGCCAAACGCCTTCCGAAGCTTCTTCTTCCATTTCTGGAGAGCAGCTCCGGCTTCATGTGGACTCCAATACTGGAGCGACATCGTCGATGGGTACGTCTCGTTCTCGAACCCCAGCGACAACAGTAGCGAAACTGAATCCTCGGCAACTTGACTAGTCGAAACCGAGTTGACTGGGTATTGAAGTTCCTGCGCAAGCGCAGGCCAGTCGGCTTGTTTCTTGGGGATGGGCTTGAACAGCTGCATCCACTCATCATTCTGCATCAGCGCTTGCACGCGGTCGAAAACGCGCTTGGCGGCTGGTGTATCACCGTTGATAGGTGGGCGAGGTGCCTTCAGCAGTGCTGAATGCTTTGCACTCGCCACCGAAGGTTTAGAACCCTCGGTCCCATCGTCATAATCTTCGTAGGCGGGTTCCGGTCCCGCAACATCATCGAGCTCGTCGGCGAGGTTCCTCGAAAGGGACCTGGTAGCCCCGCTCAGCCCCGATGATATCGTGGCCGTCTCCGGCGTCGCTGCGCCTGGCTCTGGAGCCGGCGTCTTATCTTCGTAATCTTCATAGTCGTGGACGTCAGGACCGATGTCCGCTTCGTCGTCGAAGCTCACTGAAAGCTCGGTGGCGGCTGCAAAGCGCGCAGCCGGGCTTGAACTCTCGTTGCGAGCCCCGCCAGACTTGGCAGGCGTAACTGGTACCGTCGGTTGTCCTTTCGCCATGTTTCTTGTCTTTTTCTTGTTCTTCTTCTCTTGGTAGCTCGTAAACTGGAAGGCCATACAAACAGTTCACAATGGTCACAATCTGTTCCCGGGTCGCGGCACCAGTTGTGGTGTTGGAAATCCCACGTGAACTCTAGCTACAAATGTAGTTAGGATGTTCCCACAACAATACGTCTACTAGGATAGTAAACGATCGTTCGGGCGGACCTGAAGACCCCAGTTCTGCCCTTGCACCGGGACAAACTGGACCTTGTAAACTACTTATATAGGCCAACCAGTAAAAATAAGAACACGCTACTAGCACGAGCAAAGCTAGCAGGTGTTTTGAATCCTCGTGGTCCCAACAGCGGAAGGGTACCAGGCACGGGTAAGCCTTTTACGAGATCACCGAGTGTTCAACACTCGGCTGGAAGAAATAAAAGGGAGGCAATTCAAGCACTCCCAGTCGTGCAAATAGGCAACAATAAGCCGTCACGTAAAACCTCCCGATAATAATCGGCCAATACACAAAGTCTCTTGGCCTTGCCGGATGGACCCTCGCTACAGAGCTTCGAGTTCACCGACAGGCATAACACACTCAAACAAGCTTGACCTGACGCTTACCTTGAAGCCGGACGTCGCTCTGTGTGCTTGAGTGGAAATTCTGTTCTGTATTTAAGCTTACTCTTTCGGGTCTATTCCTAATAAGAAGTCCTAATCAAGTATACAAATATCAAGTGAACAATGATCCGTTATGGATCTTCTTGCATGCCAAGCGTCGTCTGCACCGTCGCATGAGTATCTTTAACGGTCGGCGCCCTGTCCCAGACGGTGAGCCCACCTTCCAAGGGTCGCTGAGTCTTCCGCGAACTCATCCCAACCGCCACTGAGGGTTCGTACCGTAGATGGTCCGCTGAATGCGAATCCGGCCAGTCCATTATTAATAATAAGGACAGCCTGGACTCAATGACATATGACCGTATCCGGTACTTTGTTGAAAGATCGAGAGTGACGCCGTCGAGTCCCTTGCACCTTGGCGTCTCCGTACATCACCTGACCAAGGGTTCGTCGCTTGAACATCTTGGGCGGTGTCACGTCTTTGTCGACGGGTGATAATCCGCAACTACGGAGAAATCACTACACCACAGTAGCGTGACACAAACGCCGGAGTGGTAACACTATTTGCTGTGGTATCTTACACTATGCCCATGTGAATTAGCAGCGCTGCATACGTAGCATTCACGACATCGCTAGCGACATTCAGTCGGGGGTCAAGCGAGCCCAGCACGTGCCGCAATAATCCATTGCACAGCGTCACGAGCTGCCCAAACTCCGCTGTCGAAAGGCACTGCTGCAGATCACTAACAGTGGGGGTTGAGAAAGGTAAGTCTGGAGCCTCGTATCCTGCCAGTACTTTTGCAACACTTTGATCCTCACGCGTGATTGTTCCTATGTAGGCAAAGACCTTCGTAAGTGACACCAACAACCAAGCATCTCTAGTCGATATCCACTGGATTTTCAACTTCGGGGACGCATTTGCGTACGCAGCGGCACCTCGACGCAGCGAGTGGCTGCTCATGTTCGGCGTCACGGTCTGGTGCACATTGGGAGGCATGTTTCGGATGTAATCGCGGATGACTTTGGTAATATGAATCGCTATGTTTGGCCGCTTTCTCTCCCGTTTAGGTGCGGCTGGGTCTCCTTTTCAATGTTGTCATGCAAGCTCTCCCAAAAGATCACAGCTTCTTCTTGTGTGTACGTGTGGCCTCCTGGAAGGCCCGACACCGCGCAACGGGGCACTAGTGGGAAGAGGTATTCGGATGGATCATCGTAGCAGATAAATAGCATACCAAACGCATGCAACATGCACTGTTGTCATCTCTCTGCGGACTTGTAAATAGATACACCTTGGACAACTGATGTCTTCAAGCGAGCGATATGCGAAAACAGCTCTCCAGATGCAGAGATCGAAATTTGTTGCTTCCGGGCGAAACACGTATCGATGGCTCGTTCAAATGTATGCCACATCATAGCTAACATAGCTGCTTCATGAACACACTTGATTCTCGTGGTCGCATCAGCATGAACAATAAGATGTTCCACCAACACACAGAGATCCGATAAAGTACAGCCCGGAAAACCATTGCTCTGCACATTGGAACGGAGATTCCGTCCTTCGATAGCACTAGCCATTTGGTCTTAAATTCTAGCAACTCGCTTGGCATCCGAGAGAGAGATCCACTGTATCGTTCGCGTAATAGGTTCATAATTTGAGAGAAGTAGCCCAAGGCTGTTGCCTTTGCTAGGAATTCATCAGCAGCACGAGCTTTTCCACTTTTCTTTGTCTGTAAAAAGATTCCAAAGGCTGTTAGTAAAGAGTAGAAGTTTTGCATCGGCATGTTAGTTGCATTGGATAACGAGGAGTGCAGTTTGTCTAGGGCGTCACTGCTTATATCTGTTGATACCAGGAATTCATTGAAAACCTTCACTGCAGCAAGCTCCTGCCCTACCGTGCCAGCAGGCATGTCAAGCCCGCGAGGCGCCCTCCTCATCTTTTTCGTAACAACTGGAAGGGATACAAGGGAAGCCTCTTCGTACAAATGCATTCTCTTCCTAGCTTATCTTACTTATAAATACATCAGTCTTAAATCTACTCTGCAAACCGTTCCCTTTGAGGCCGGGAACACGTGGACTAACGTTCACTCGGGTAGTTAATACGCTTAAGCACTTCTCTGTGCAAGGTGCTGTGTGACCCCGTCACAGCAATAGAACTTATCCCACAGTAATAATCCTTCTGGAAGTTGATGAGCAACTTTTTATCAAATCGCTGTCCTAGTCTAGGTGTGACGACTGCTTTGATCTAGGACTCCTTGATCATGGCTCTTTCACTGTTGTAAATTAAAACATGGTTGAAAGAAATACTAATGAATTTTAAGCCTGTTTCGGGTGAGACGCACGAATGTAACCTAGCCAGAACTCCAACGTCCTAGCAGCTACCGTACTCGTATTTTTCTGTCTCACGCAGTAACCCATACCAAGTTACCACGGCAGCTCCACCACGGGGATCTGCGGGTCCACGTTGAAGAACTTGCCCGTACTTTGAGAGCCAAGCTTGGCGATGAGGCCGGTCATGGCCGCCACACTATCCGCTGGCTTCAGCGTCGCCTTGCCCTGGGTCATGTCCGTGTCCACGTATCCTGGATGCACCGACACGACGACGACGCCACTTGAGCGCAGGTCGAACGCAAGCCCTCGCGTGATCATGTTGAGCGCAGTCTTGGAGGACGAGTAGCCGTAGCCAGCCTGCTTGGAGAAATCGACAGTGTCATTTGTGTAGCTGCCGATGCTGCCGAGGAATGACGAGAGCTGCACAACGAAGGCACTACCATTGTCCTTTGCTGCCAGCTCCAGGTTGGGTAGCAAAGATCTGGTCACGAGGAATGGCCCGACGGCATTCACCTCGAATTGGCGCATAAGGGCGTCCTTGGTGCCAGTATCGAACTCGCTTGGGATACCAATACCGGAATTGTTGATGAGCAGATCGATGGGCTGCCCCTCCAGCTGACGAGCTGCCTCGAGGATGGAGACCTCGTCGCTCGTATCCATTGCAATGATCTTGAACGGGGCAAGCGACTTCAGCTGCACAATGACAGTAAAGATGAGCAACTAGTACTGATAACCCCAACGTCTCTTAGCAACATTTTTTTGTACCTTTTCCGTGTTGCTATTGGCGCGAGCCGTGCCAATGACGTTCCAGCCAGCCTTGACGTAGTGCTCGACAAAATACCGCGCGTGCTGCCGGTGACGAGAGCTGTCTTCTTGGTGGAGGCCATGGTTGAAGTGAGGGTGAGGGGGGGGGTGTTGGTGAGCTTGTGAAGCTGAGAATGTTTTGAAGAGTGAGATGATCCGCCACCCGCGCTGATTTAGCTGCAGGGCGTGAGACTTCTTCCTTCTCCGCTGCGTGATGCTGGCATTTGGCATAAGCATTTGGACGCGTCAACAAACGTGCTGAACAATCACGAGTAGCGATTGCCAGCACTGACCAAAACATTTTCCAGTGTTTACGTCTACGTAAAACACAACTTCGTTATGTACAAACTGGGATGTTTAAAACGAAGCACATGTTACTGCTCTGTACGACACCGTATAACCAAATGACGCATTTGCTGCAAACCCCTTAGCTGGAAAAGGTATTCAATGGAATCGCTCAAGCATTGCATCGCTCCTGCCAGGCTCGAAATAAAGCTTGTCTGGACACTCGAGCGATATATCCTGTCGCCTTACGATGCTGACCGCTACAAAAAGAGCCTTTGCCGTTGGTGGCCCCACGAGATTCATAGTGTGGAGAGCTACAACAGACAGCTCATAGAAAAATGCAACGATCCTCTACTGGGTTTTGGTTATTTTACATGTGAATGGGTTTTAAAGGTACATGTATTAAAACGATTAATAGTAAGTCTTATACTTGAAGTAAAAGAGAACCAATAACAAAGGTAGCAGTGCTACATGAACACTACATTTCCGTGTGCTTAAGTATGCGTGAAATTTACGTAGTCCTGTATACTTCCTATGACCCAGTAAGATACTCTATCCTGAACGCCTTCGCTCCATCACCCACTTGTCTCAATGAAGAACAGATTGAACTTGGCCACAATCGCCTTCTCGGCTGTCGTAGTTGTTTGAGCCTTTTTAAATAAAAAGGAGACGATGACTTCCGGTGTAATACGTTCGTCTTTCAATGACGCAAATTGCTTCTTCTGCAGCGCAGAGGCGGCCGTGGACTCACTTGCTTTCTCCAACACCAACGCCAGTTTGTCTCTCCCTCCAAGCTGCTCCGTCAACGTCCTGATTAAACGTTCATCTCCATCCATCATTTGCGTAATATACTTGACCAACAAGCCTAGCTTTCGGCGAGTAACTACTGCATCGCCAGAGCTGTCAATCTTCAGTATCGTTTCGACTTGGCCAAAACCCAATCTGCGGCTGACCCAGCTCTCAAACTGCGCCTCCTGTAGCTTGTTCGCGATACTTCTTGTCGCCCCGTCGTCCACTGCCGAGATGAGCTTGTTTACGACAGCAGCGTCTCCAAAACTGCTCGTGTAGATAGCAATCGCTGACTGTTGATGATTGGGCCTCCTCGTGTTAAAATTGTCGATGTACGCTGCGAACTTGTTCAAGTTTTGAGGGGAGAAAGCGTCGTCCACGTCGTCGGAAAGCTTCAGCCATACAAAGACGTCTTTCGGTAAGGTATCTTCTCTCAGCCACTTATTGAGTAAAGCAGTCTCCAATTCGTCGGCTTTTTTCCCCGTCATGCTACTTTTTTTTGCAGAAGTCACGAGCGCCACCAGCTTGTCCTCCCCGCCAAATCCCTTACTCAAGATGCTCACCAGAGATACCGGATCGCCCTTCTTTTTGTTCTGGTTGATGAGTTTGATATAGGCTTCCAGAATGTCCAGTTTCCCACTGAAAAACATTTGATACTTTTCTTCGCGAATCCCCAGTTGCTTGAAAATAACGTCCGCGGAGATGCCGCGGTTCAGCCACTTCGACTGTAGGTCCTGCCTCAACGCTTTGAGTTGTTCTAGAAGTGTGGGCGACGCCTCCCTTTCGGCAGCCTTGAGCCCCTTTGCCAGATCGATATCTCCGTAGAGGGTCCTGAGCGTCCCAATCACCGTGACTTTGGCAATGGACTTTTTGTTAAACACTTGGACTTCCTTGGTCAATTGCTCCAGTTTTGAGCTTGACAAGGCGTGGTCAATACCGCCGAGTTGTAATTTCGCTGCCATGTCAGCCTCATCTTTCTTACGATTTAGTAAATACGCACGGACCTTCAACCAAAGGCTCTTGATCTTGGCGCCGCCCCCGACGGTTCTCCCTTCGTTGTCAACATCGTAACGTCGCAACAGCCGTTTAGAAGCGACGCTGTTATGGTGGTAGGCGAGGGAACGGAACACAGTCGGATGGTCGGCGGTGGCTAGCTCAAACTCCGAGTCGAAGGACGCACACGTAGCATTTGTCAGGAGAACACCCCCAGTTGCCAGGAGTACGGCTGGGAAGAAACGCATCTCTATTAATATCAACAGGTGGCTACTGAGGGCTGGTTCAAGAATTGCGGAATGCGCTCCAGTTTACTCCAATTGACGGAGATAATCAGAGCAAAAATACATGCACTGCACTACAGTCCTTTATTTCAAGAAGAAAGAATTGACCCATTGGACTTGATTAATTACCCATTTCGAAAGTTAACGAGTGATGCCCAATTCACGGAGATACACCTGGATATAAAAAGCGAGTAGCGAACCGCCATTTTTGCTTCCCTCATAACTAGACAGCCAGTACCCCCCGTCCTGATACGCCACGCTTACTTGGCGTCGCTTGCCACGGAAAAATACGCCAGCACTGACCAGTATCCTCCATAGTGTACTTTTAAGAGATGCTACGGAAAAATGCGCCATAGTTTTGATTGGATATAATGACCACGCTAGTGTCCTACCTTTACTCCAATTTAACCGTACTATACTATCTGTACACGTATAAAAGTCGATGCTATATTACCTCAGTCGGGCGAAATAACGAGTGCCTTTTAATTAAAATAAGCACGTACTTTGTCTTGTGGACAAGGCAGCTCTACGCAGCAAATGTTACAAAAGTGTGGCTGTAACACCGTCGAATTGCGTCCTAGGGTATTAGGATCATTTTGTGATTGGGAGGCTTCACCAGTCTATGATAGACTCTATCGTATCTGCATCTACTGTACACCTCGTAAGTCCTCGTAAAAGCCTCCTCTGCAGCTTAAAAGTATATTTGGCTGTAGGATAAATTGTGTGTCACGACTATACCATATTCAAGTGTTTGTCGGACCTAGAGGTGTATATTAAACTTTTTCACTATGTAATGTATAGTGGAAAAGTTTGTTGCCACTCGCATAAAGTATTCATGCCTAATTTGAAAATAAACTTCTTACACCTGATTAAACAAATTGCTGATTGTTTTTAAGTATCGGACCAGATCGAGGGATTTGTTCCATGGCGTACTCTTAATAAATTAATTTATTAAAAGGCTAAAAATAACTTGTATCATTCTGTACTGTAATACTGTAAAACATTTGTGCATCCGGACCTTTTGTCCATCCGGACGCCAGAATTAGCCAATCATAATGATGTAGCTATTTGAAAAAACCTTACTATGGAGCATTTGTCCATGCGGATCTACCTTTTTTTACCCACTCTACTATTTATGCACAGGATAAAGCCGCGGTGAAACTACTAGCAAGCAGACAACCAGCCTTTCACATTCAGAGCCTGCAAGTGCCAGCATGGCAAGAGGGCGGAGCCGCGCTCCTGGTGGCGCTGGGCGAAAGCCAAACGGCTACAAACGCGAGTGCGAGAGCTACACTAAAAAGCTGGACGTAATAAATTTCCTTCGTGACAACAATGATGACATGGATGCTACTCTCGATAGATTTTACTGCCAACTCATCCCAGCAAAACGCGTATCAAAGCGCAAGCGGATCAACGAGTGGTCGAAGCAGCGTACACACATTGAAGCCATGGTTGCCTCCACCGGCTACGGGCAAATTTGAGGTCTTACAGAGCTCCAGGAACAGCAACAAACAATCAGCAAGTCTGGAGAAGAAAGCATTGTTGAGTGGATTAATTCGCTACGTGGTGAGGGTATCCCTGTGTCCCGTCTAATGCTTCAACTTCAAGCTCAGGAAGTTGCCCGTGACGAAGGCGTAGCAGATGGTGTTTTCACTGGGAGTTGGTGCTGGCAGCAGGGGTTTCTGTCTCGTCATGGCTTGTCTTTGAGAACAAAAACGCGTCAAGGCCAGAAAACCCCTGCTGCTATGGAAGACGCTGCCAACAACTTTTGGCAAGAGGTAGAGCAAGCAAAAAATGATCTTGGTGTAGATAAATTCTACAATGCAGACCAAAGCGGCATTTGCTTCGAGTATCTGCCCAAGCAGACGGTGGACAGAAAAGGTGTCAATACAGTGTGGGTCAGATGTGGTGGAAAGGACAAGGAACGCCTGACAGGCATGTTTCTGGCAGATTCGACTGGAAAACAGTATGACCCTTTTTTCGTGGTTAAGACGGAGCCCTCGCGCAACCCCGACAAAGCGGCCTACAACTACGTGGCCCAACATGGCTTTGGAGACTCCTTGTGGAAAACAATGCAAACAATTCAGAGTGATGCTGCTCTGCAAATCTATGGCAACAGCTCTGCGTGGTGGAACTCAGGCTTATCCGTCGCTTTTCTGGACTACCATTTCGCAAATCGAGATGAGGCACAGCCGGTACTGTTGCTTTGGGATGATTTCTCGGCTCATTGGACTGATGAAGTGCTTGAGCATGCAGAGCTGCTAAATGTGCACCTACTTAAAGTTCCTCCTGGATTAACTTCTGTGTGCCAACCAGCTGATATATCCTGGTTTCGACCACTTAAAGAACGCCTTCGAAAGCGCTGGGTTCAGCACGTGTCGGAGCAGCTACAACAATTCCGTCAAGGAAATTCAGGCGGCAAATTTCAGCTTAATCCTCCCTCTAGAAACGATGCTATCTACTGGGCTACGGCAGCGTGGAACGATCTCGGCGCTTCGGTGATTCAAAGCGGCTTTAAACGCCAGCTTGCGGTAAGTCCGGCAACTGAGCACGAAAACCAACTCGTTGAAGCGTTGGAGCGACTGCAACTGGTTGAAGAGACCGTCAACGAATCTGACGATGTCATCAACCAGTTCATTAACGAGACAGATGATCAGCAGTAGTGGATCGGCAGGAAGATTTGCATTTTGCATAGGAGTAGAGAAAAGGTAAGCTTCAAAGCATGAGGTTTTTCATTTGTATGCAATCTTGTGCGTCCGCATGCACAAATGTTTTACAGTAGTCAAAATACATGTGTAGAAAGGCAAAATATTACTAATATGAGCTGCGACGTATATACGGATAGGGGAAAATCTACGATGAACACTGCGCTGCTAAATAAATCCTTCATCATAGAGAACCATGTCTTATTTCAGTTTTTATGCTCAAAAATGTTTGTGGACCACCCAGTGTAAGCATGAAGGACCTTTTCTTGACAAAGTTCCGCAGACCAGATGCGATCAAATCGTTGGACCAACGAACACACGACGTTTTTAATCTGTACTGTACATGTATTAAAGTGTCGGTTCATCATGAAGTTCATGGTTTATATTGTACCGTATGTTTTCAATTAAAGCTTTTCATCTCAGAGAACAAGATGTTATTCCACGAAACGGCAATGCCCCACTCACGTTCGCATAAAAAACCCTTTCATGTAAGCTGCAGCTATCAATATGTCCCACACCAGAAATGTCTGGTCCGGAACACAACCAAGAGAAAGAATCTCATTTACCGGTTTACGAGACCGCAAGTTCAAAACCCTTATTGCGCAGCTACAATAATAACAAGTATGTGTACGACTTAGGTTTGGCAAACCTTGCACCGGTAGTTACACATCCGATCTAAATCACCTTGCTCTATGTCACACTTATTAAAAGGGGTGGGCAACCAATTTTGGGTCACTTAACATAAAAGGCTGCGATAAAACTAATTTAATAAAGTCTATGTCCCTTAACCCCAACAAAATTATTTGTCCTTTAAATAAGGACGAAACAAGATGCAAGATTGTTAAATCCCGAGTGATTTTGTCCTTAAGACCTCGATTATAAGGACAAAAACTAAGCGCGGCAAGCGCAATTGCCTCTGTCTGATATGGCCACTTTGTATGGAATTGAAATTATTCTTGAGTATACTATCGATTTTGATGACTTTTGTCCTAAACTTAAGGACAAAACACTCTCCGGGAAGTCATTCCAGACACCTTACGGCACAGCAGCTTATGCAACAACGCGTAGGTTTAACGAAGAGTTGTATTGTGCTTTGCACGCATTGTGGCTAAACCAGCCCATAACTCGTTGTTTTAGCAAATCATCAAGATCACGACAACATAGACTTACGTGCTCATCTCTTCATATTAAAATTGAATATCCTGCTTTCACGAAGAGTTAAGGTTGTATTGGTGCAGCTTTCGTTGAATGGCTGCGGTAAAAACGACAAACCAACGTCATTCCTCATTCTAGCGCTTTCTCATAGACTCTGTCATCTTAGCAATGACAATCTCAATCGACATGAGATGGCGATCTATCGTCCTAACCTATATCTACGACATCGATGTAAGTGTGGTGGCCTCTGTAATGGGGGTGTCGACGCGGTCAATCTCTCGATGGGCACTCTTATTTCGCAGGCGTGGAAATGTGATACCAAACGCTCCTATTGTGCGGAAGACGAGATGGCCGCCGGAATGCATCAAGTTTGTCCAACATTTCGTGGAGGAGCATCCGTGTTTCTACATCGAAGAGCTGCAACTAGCTCTACAAGCAACATTCCCGTCACTTTCAAACATTTCAACGTCAACTATAAGCCGGGCGCTGCGCTTTGACCTTGGCCTCACTCGCAAGGTTCTTACCAAACGGGCAAGAGAGAGTGTTCCTGCTGAAATAGACGCTTACTACATGAAACTAGCCCCATTTTATCGTGGTCCGGAGCAGCTAGTTTTTCTGGATGAAACAGCAAAAGATGGTCGTGATGTGCTTCGTCGTTTTGCGTGGTCTACAAGAAACACGCCAGCTATCGTACGGCAACCTTTTGACAGAGGTACATTTTGCTTTTATTTGCTCACTTTTCTTCTGTAACTAACATTTTGTGTAGGTGATCGAGTTTCAATCCTTGCTGCGATGGGTGTGTCTGGGTTTATAGCTTGGGACACAACTCCAGGAACCTTTGTTCGACGTTGTTTTAACCAATCATTTCTGGAAAATGTTGCCCCATTGCTAAATCCTTGGCCTCTTCCTAGGTACGCAGCCTACTTGAGAATCGATAACACATCTCACTAACAATACTGCATATGGGTCCATTGTTATTCTTGACAATGCCAAAATCCACATGTACAGAGAGCTAGAAGAGTTGGTCCACTCGACAGGAGCCTTGCTTTTCTTTTTACCTCCATATTCACCGCAGTTGAATCCAATTGAGGTCGGCTTTGGTCT